TATTGAACATGTGAATCTCTTAAGTGTTTTTTCAGACTACTGATTGACTTTTATTATTTTAGCATTTGACATAAGTCTGGTTCTAATTACAACAAATAGCTAATCTAATTTCAAATAACATGTCAATTGTTTGGCAACAAAATATTTGAGGGGGAAAAGGGGATTTTTCAAAAAGAAACGCATCCATCCATCCATTTTCTTTACCCGCTTATTCCATTTTGGGTCACGGGGGTCGCTGGTGCCCATGTCCAGCAATCACTGTGCGAGGGGCGGGGAACACCCTGGACGGGTCGCAAGTCCATCACAGGGCCACATAGACACAAACGAGACAAACAACCATTCACTCTCTCACTCACACCTAGGGACAATTTAGAGTTAACAATCAGCCTAACATGCATGTTTTTGGACTGTGGGAGGAAACCGGAGTACCCGGAGAAAACCCACGCATGCACGGAGAGAACATGCAAACTCCACCCAGAAAGGCCCCTGGACCGGGGTTTGAACCAGGGACCTGCTCGCTGAGAGGCAGCAGCTCTACCAGTTGCGCCACCGTGCTGCCCCAAAAAGAAACCATTAAATAGTTTACTGTGGCTGATAAAAGCAGTTAAATTGCCGTCACTCCTTTGAGCTTGATCACGACGATCCAAAGCTCGACGTTCGTTCCGACGCCTGACCTGACAATTTGTGCACATCAGCACATGACTGAGACCGAAATAAACTTAGCTGCGTGTTTTACGATGAATTAATATTAAACAACTTTATTGCTCGGGTTTTTAATCCCCATTTACACAAAAACAAACACTTCAGTGTGTTATCTTAATGAGCCCTCTTGTACAGTGGGATTCAGGAATTTATACTGCTCATTAAACAGATCTGGACATTAAAAAACTGGGAAAATTCACAAAAGAAACAGAGCTGCTGTGCACAGCCAGCTACAGATCAAGCAGCAGGAGTCTGATTTCGCAGCGTTTATCATTGCTTCTTTGCCTGCAGAAAGCAATCCGACTGTTCCTACGTGCATAACTTTAAATCCTAAAGTCAGATTTATTCCACCTCACTGCACACGGAGGCTTGGAGGAGAGTGGTCGTCAAATATCTCCTCCTCAACTTCAGATTCCTGCAGGTCAGCACAAATTAATTGCCACTTCAACAACTGGAGAGGACTCTCTGCAGGCTTTCACGGCTGCAAACAGAAACTTTCTACTGTTACACAATGCATGAAGAGGAGCAGTTATCAGATGCTGGAAAACTTCATCTGGTGGGTAAAATTATAACTGTGATTTAATGGGTCAGCACCAACTCTGGTCCAGAAAGGGTGAGGTTTTTTTAGATTTTTAGCACCACTAAATATTTGGCTTTTGTCACAATAACATTTCCAGTTTAGTCCCCGGGAGGCCAATTAAACTGAGATGTCTGCTGCTGGGAGGGTTTCTGCAGGGTGTTCTGCAGAGGAACATCTGAGCTAGCTGTAAAATCAAACTCTGGACTGAAAGCTAATCATCAGAGTGTGATACCGGCGATGCGTCGCAGTTCCTGCACGTGCAGTTACTGCACATGCAGTTCCTGCACATGCAGTTCCTGCACATGCAGTTACTGCACATGCAGTTACTGCACATGCAGTTCGTTCAGTGCAAGTATCACTTTGTTTATTAGTGTTTGGGACACCACGTGTGATGCCGCTGAGGGGACATTTCTCGTCCATGGAAGAGGACAAGGTGATGTCTGGGAAGACTGAACGAGAGGGAGACTTCTCTCCGCAAACCTAAAGCAGATGTGGGCAGGAGAAGGTCTGTTGTCATGGAAACCACAGAGCGCGCAACTTTAAGCTTGCAGCGTGGACTTGACCTGCAAGATACCTGCTCCTCTTTTCTCCACTGTTTCTTTTGTCTTTTTTTATCATGACAGTTTGACAAATGTGTCTAATGTCTCCAGCTGTTTGTTTGAACACATTTATGCTTATTTATTTGACCTTAAAAGCTGCAGAAAGTACTTTTTTTTAGTTATTTTTTATAAAGGATTTGGTAAATCACTAATCAGGTTCTGGGTCAGGTCTTTGCTGGGTTGTTTCCTCCGTTTTAAAGACGTGACTTTTGCACGATGGTCGTTTGCTGCCTTTTCTTTTAATTTTAGCCCAAACAATTCTTACTTCCTCTTCTGATTTCTTTTATTTTTCTAAACAGAAACTGTACAACTGTGAGGAAAATGTGGAAAAAAGCAGCTAAAGTTCCCGCCAAAAATACTTTGAAAGACCTTCAAATGAACTTAATAAAAAAAAATCAAGATCTCTTTAAGAAACTTATTACAATTATTTTTTAATCGGGTTGGGGGGGGGGGGGGGGGGGACTTCTAAATCTTTTTTTTTTTTTTTGCAAGAATTTAAAATAAATCCATCTGAATTTCAGAATGCTGCAGGTAAATATTACATCAGCCCTGCAAATGCTTACCTAATCGTAATTGGTTACTTTTAAAGTCCCTCTTTGATTTTATCACTTTTGGTAAAAGATGCAGTTACACAAAGAGAAAAGAGATCAGACCTAACCTGTCTGGTTTGATTGGTTTAAATCACATGAGTCAAACTTAAGGCCCGAGGGCCAAATATGGCCCTTGTTAAAATCTTATCTGGTCCCCAAGAGAACATTTTAAAAGTTAAATCATTTTATCCCTTCTCATTTTGCTGAAAATCTGAGCAAACTTTATTTAGTGCAGACTTTTCATGACAGTTGGCCAATTTTGATGTCGAGAGAAATGTGCTTGAAATTTTCAATAATCTTTGATTTTGATATGGACAAAACAACAGATGGCATCAAATGAGCTTAAAGTCTTGTTGAGGAACCTGCACCAAAAAAAGATGTCACCTGTCTGACTAGAGTTAATGCACTGAATGAAACCGGCCCTTGGTTTGTATACGTTTTTAGTTTTGTCCCACTTCAGGAAACGAGTTTCACACCGCTGATTAGCGAGTGTCTTTACTCCTTTATCCACACAGAAAATACTTTTGTCTTATGAACGGAACGAGCAGCAGGTGTGGTACTGCACCTGTCGAGGGCCGAGCTGAGCTCGTCCAGCCTGTGGGTGTCGGTGGAGTTGCCCAGTTTGGACAGCGCATCCATTCGTTTCATAATCATCTCCAGCATATCACTGATTTTCCTCAGCACCCCGCGAGACTCTTGGCCACCAAGCACTAAAAAAAAAAAAAAAAAAAGCAAGGCCAAAAAATATCATACATGAAAATTTAATTAGAACAATGCTGAAGAAATTTTAAAGGGTAAACTGCTTGTAATCCCAACACCCATCAACTGTTTTCTGTAAGGCTCAATATTGATTTGAGCTTTATGTTTGTAAAAACATGTTATGTTAAAACATCCACATTTTTATGTAAAAGCTTTCTAAAAGGAATAAGGAAAACTTGACTGTAAAACAATGCTAAAGCTGCAGTGGGGTTACCATAGCAACCACACACAAGCCTCAGACAAACTTTTCCTGCACAAAAAATCATAAGTTGTACTCAAAGACCATGAACCACATGTGGCAGAACCATCTGGCCATAGACGACCCTTGACCCTTGAACCCTTCCAGTTTTAATGAAAAATACAGTTGAGGTCAACGAGTCCAGCTGTGTGTGCTGATGTAAGAGAAAACAATAAATCCTATATTAGTGAAAAACAGGCACACCCTGTTTACACGTGAACAGTCTTTTGGAAACAATGTTTTTTTTCCTCAGATTATTGCAGAAAAAGTCGCACGTTTACATGAAAATGTTGTGTTTGGTTGCTGTAGTTTTTTCACTATCTGGAGCTATGATTTCTGTATTTCAGTGACAGGTGCATGCATGCAGACACTTCAGACTCAAGCATTTAGTTACATTGAAAATGTTGAACACATGACTGTTCTTTTGGACCAAGGATGAGGTTGAGCTGCTCCAACATGTTGAAGCAGCACAAACAGTACTCATGCAGAAAAACTGCAAGTATTGACTGCAGCCGTTCGCAGTGCACAATTTCACTCCAGTGGTTATAAAAACCTTCACTCTGAGATTCAAAAAGCTTAAATTTTTAGGAAAAACGTTGCCATTGTTGCGTACATGAATGATTCAAGCACATAAGTCGTTCACTCAAAAAAGTAGTTGTGTAAACAAGACCTGAGTGAAAAAAACCAAACATACATTTAAATGTAAGAGTTCTATAAAAAGTGTAAAGTCTGTGGGAATAAAGCACTTTTGCTTTATTATATCACCCAGCTAAAACGTTAGAGATCGTGACAGTATGACGCTTTAAGTTGAACACTAGAAGACATTTTTTAGAAGAATTTTTCTTTTAAACTGAACTGCAATGAAAAGTGTTAAAGATATCAAAATGACTGCTGAGTCACAAAGTGTCCAATATTTTGTGACAGGTTTAGACTCCAAATGTGTCTAGTCCCTCGTTTATCGCAGGGGATCCATAACCTGAAGCCCCGTGATAAGTGAAAAACCGCAAAGTGGGAATAGCAGTAAGTACTACTTTATTTTAGTAT